TAAAATAATTAGTATGCACAAAAATGAGTAATTAATAAGGCACATTTCTGATAGATATATATAGGTAAAATAAAGTTAAATCAGTATTAACCCAATTGATAACTATTAAACTAACCAGTTAAACTGATAAATACTATATAAAAAACTAGTTCACAATAAAAATAGGTGATTGATAGGATACCCATACAAGTAAATCGAAGTTCAATCATACATAAACCAATCGACGATTAGCTTAGTTGATACAATTGATAAGGTATTCCAAATAAATATTATTAAATAACAGATTCATAAAAATTAAAATAAACGAAACCTGATTTATAGTACATTTATTTAAGTTAACAATAAAATGATTTTAATAAAATTAAAACAATGATTATGACAGACAATAATTATAAATGAAACTGCCTATTAATTGGTATTACTACCATATAAGATTTACTATTTATTTTCTTTTTTCTAATGATAAAATTAGCGGGAACAAACTGATTGTAAATATTATATATTAGAATTATGCTGTTTTGAGATAAATTATAAAATTCGGCAATTTTCCAAAGTTCAATGTTAACACTTTGATTATCCTCTTTAATTCGACAATAAAATCTGGTTTTGTGATCATTAACTGGTAGATACCACTTAACATAGGCAAGCCTATGCGTCTTGATGATACCATTCAAAAGTTACAAAGTATGTTCAAAAAAAATTGAACTTGTCTTAGGAATAATTCTATTGAATTGTTACAATGCCAAAATATGCGAATCCTTCTTGTATCGAAGTAATAATACAGAACTGAAAAATTTAGCAGCTATTCAAATTCGTTCACATTGGTTAATTGTTAGTTGAACAATTGAATAGCAATTTGATAAATCATTTTGTAACCCTCTTTCAATTAAATCAGTTATTAAAATGAATTCAACATTCATATTATCATATGCTTCATTATAATAAGTAATCAATTATTTAAATACATTATCAGGTAAATTGACCTGTTCATTTATTGAAGATAATATTTTTCTGGAAATAATTCACTTCCAGTGACTGTATCTCCTGATTCATAACAAAATGATCTTCTGAATTGAAGCAATTCTTCAGCATTAAAACTATTATATGCAGCCAATAATCCTAAAGTTTTCTGAGGTCTGATTAATTCAAGCCCATTAATAAGTTTTGAATTATTTTATTGAATGGAAACTAGGTTGTCAATTTTATAATTTTGCATTATAATTCTCAACAATTCTTGTTTGATACAACATTGAGAATTAGGAAAGGATCCTAAAGAGCCAAATCAATAAATTAATATAAGTATAAACTAGCTGAAAGGTTTATATCTTGTAATTTAAATGCTTATCTAATACACCATTTATTCTTTTAAATGAATAGCACCAAAAAGAGTATAACAGGCTATAATCTTGATAACATTCAGCAAAATGAAGGGAGAGATGAATATTTGGTGTGATTAATTATCGATCATAATGTTCCTCTATAAGCTGACCAACTTTAAGTAAACGTGAATAGGCTCATACTATTATCAATAACTCTACAAATTAATAAAATACAAGCCCTGACAAAATTTGCTAA